ATCAGTGTTACTGATTTTTCAAAGAGTTTGATAGTCTTTAATATATATCTTACAAAGCATAAGCTTTCATGATCCATGGTCCCCTTTATCAGTTGCATAGAGTTATTTAACTAATGTAGAATTGCGACAAGATGGGGAGAGAAGGTGATGGTAATGAGGTTCCTTGGTGGACAGATTACAAGGACCTTATCAAGTAATGATTATAATGTGCTAAAAACCCATTGTGTGTTTGGTCACACCTTTTGAGAAAGCCTGAAATCTATTGAGGTATATAAGCACAGCTGCCTTCTGTTCAATTGGGTTGGTAAAGTTTCTTTGTTCCAAAACTGCTACTCTGAGATCTGTAATGGAATGTCCTGGGAGTTAAAATGCTCTGATGTTGCTTTGTCCTTGTTTTCAATCCTGTGTCCTTTAATTCTTTTGCACACTCTGGCCTATTTGTTGTATGTAAAATCCAAAGGGGCACTGCTTGCAGATATTCAGTGTGTTATTCAAAGAAAATTCAAATGGAATTTTACTGTGGCGGACACCATGAGTTAGCTAGGTTTCAGATCCCGAGCAATCCTATCCATTGGCTTTATATTGCCTGCCAGTTGCAGGGATTGATATATCCTTTACTCCGTTTATATTAACAAAGATTGTGGTGTTTAAATGTAGTCAATTTGATTTGGTCTGATCTTAATGCCTGATAATCTCCACAAGAACTTTAGAATCCCTGATACATGAGTTCCCAAAGAACTACTTCCACAGGTTAGTGATGTTTAAACTAACTCAATACACAGGTATATGATTCTTTATTTGAACTACCTTTTAGCTGTACCCTCTACTATCGCTCTATTCTGTTCAGTAGAAGCTCACTAGGAACCATCTGATTTAGCAATAATAACAAGTCTGCACGCAGACACACACATTAAAATTTGTAATCTCTTCCCTGAAATCTTAGTCTAACAGCCTTGGTATTTAAATTATTTATTTAATATCAGGAAAAATTATACATGCTGGTTATATATGTTGTAATGTCATGCCAATGTCATGTCATGTAACCTTATTTTTAAGGTTGGTTAGTGATTTAAATAATTCATTTATTAATTTCATTTTAATTAATTTTGGCTTAGATATGTATGATGCTAAATTGTTTGGAAGTAGACTACTGTTCATATAAGTGATCAAAATTGATTCTGAATGGATGTTTTATAGAACAATCCACAGCCAGGGGTTTAAATAACAAATATTGTTTAAATAATTTCCTGGCAGGAAGAACTATGTGTAAGCAATCAAATTACAGACACTGATAGCCTTGCTTGATTCTTTTAGGGCAGCATTTGAACTGGCCCACTGTAATGTTGGTTTTATGTTAAGGCCTGGGATTTCAGAAGACTATATCCATCTTTTTAGATTCCTAGTTATTTAATTGAGGGACTTATTAATATAGTAACAGTCATTCTTCTTTAGCACAAATGAATTATGTTGAACTTGACTAAAACTGTCTTCTTTCGATTTTTATTATTTAATGGAATATCAAAATATTGGTGCAAAAATCACATTAAAGATGAGCTCTTTAAGCAATCTTTTGCAGAAGTGAAAAATTATTTTAATGTTATTAAAATATATCTTGCCATCATTTCCCCCCCCCCCCAATGTTCAGGCTCTATCATGTATTATGAACTGCCAGAGCTTGACAGTTTCCGTTTGTTTTGTTTCTGTTTTACATAGAGCTGGGACAGGGAGAAGCAGCAGGTGTCACAATCAAATTCTGCAATCTATTTTAATTCAATTTAAATAGCAAGCATGGTTTGTTGTTGGCCTGTGTAACAAAGTTGGCTAAAAATGTAATCCAAAAAAACAATGTAAAATAAAATTATGAAGTTGGCAACATTTCCTGCAATATGCCCTGTCATCTAAGTATCTCCCCTCTAAACAACTGATACTGATGTATTATACCCATATTTGTATCTTTGTTTTTCCTACTTAATTAGTTGGAAGCAGAATTTGCTGTTTGCAAATACAGAGCAGAAGAAGTGATGTACTTATATCTGATTGTGATCACTTTAATCATTCCGAATCAGATGACACAGAATAGTTCTTGTTTGAAAGGACCACTCCAGTAAATCACAAAATATACATTTTATAATAGGTTTGATATTTTTCAGTGTTACAAAGCCTGAAATTATGTAGCAGAAAAGTGATCACTGGAAAAATGTAGAAATATTATAAGCCCATTGTTCTAAATGGATATGAATATTGATTACTTTAAACCAGGCATGTCAAACTGCCGGCCCACAGGTCAAATGCACCATACTGAAACCACACCCACCCCATTGCCGGCAATGGGGGAAAAGTCGCAATATGTTGCACGATGTCACATGACGTCGCGAGTTTGACATGCCTGCTTTAAACTCATTTTGTTCCAGTGCAAAATGTGTGCTTCTTTATTCAACTGAAAAGGCAATGCCATAATACTTAGAATGAGCTGAGATATGTAGCACACATATAGGATTCTGCTCTTATTACTGCTATCATGTATGTCAAATTACATCTTGAGCTGAGATCTGTTATGCTGGAAACATTAGATGGCAGAAGTATGTTATTTTGAGAGATGTATGACAGTAGAACACCCAACAAAAATATTAGGGATTTAATTGAAAGATAAATTGAATAATTCTGTAACTGATATAGCAGGAAGCCACAGTAAGTTCTAATATTTGCTTTGTGTTCATATTAGCTGGCTGAGGAATTCTGGTAGTTGAAGTCCACAAGTCACAAAAGGGCCAAGTTTGAAGACCCCTGACTTAAACTTATATACTGCTTCATAGTGCTTTGCAGCCCTTTCTAAGTGGTTTACAGAGTCAGCATATTACCCCCAACAATCTGGGTCCTCATTTTACCAATCTCGGAAGGCACTTTGAGCCAGTGAGGCTCATTAAAATATCTTTAGAGAATTTATTGTTATATAAATTCCTTTTTTGCCTTTTTTAAAAAATAGCTCTTTGTAGTGAATATAATAGATTCTTGACAATTTTCATAAAAAAGTTTTAGGAATTATCATATGTTGTCATATGAAAGATATTGAAACCATAACTGAAAACAGGCCAAATAGCTAAATAAACAAAAGACAACTCCAGATTATCTAAAAGTTTCTTAACTTTGGCAACTTTAAGATGTGTGGATTTCAACATGCTAGCTGGAGAATTTTGGGAGCTGAAGTCCGCAAATGTTAAAGTTACCAAAACTGAGAAATATTCACTTAAATTACTCATTGCACGCTCATAGTTTTCTGGCATTTTTAAACTTGAAAATCTGATGATTTATTTAAAGAAATGGAACATCAGTGCAGCAACCAGCATCTATAGTTCATTATTAGCATTACTTTCCTGCCATTTTAAGTTTTTCCTTTTGTTTCTGCCCAATTAATACAGTTCATTGTTGTGAAGATTCTTTGACTCGGTATGTATAAATGAGAGAGGAAGATCATTCTGGTTGCAGGAAGAAATGAATGTTGGATAAAACTGCCCAGAATAATTAAAAAAAAAAAAACACAAAACCCTAAAGTTCAGTGTCAGACTCTCTTTAACACTACTTTCTTTCTAAAACTCCATGAATTGTTGTAGCTGAGGGGTACAGTCCATGGAAAAAAACTGAAAACTTATTCACTTAGTATATTTCAAGTTCTTCTTTCCCAATCCATATATCTCTGGTCATCCAAGATCTCTTTCTATCTGCAGTTGATCAGACTACAAGAAATAACTTACTCGCTGCCAAACAGCTTCCTCTGTGGCTCCTTGATGGTAGTTTGCATTGTACACCTGCAGGCAGAGTTACTTTCCTTTTTAATGTCACATGCTGATTCTTTAATATAATTGTGTGGAAGAAGGCATTATGTTTGTGTTGAATAACCCATAGGCTGCTTGTGTTCTACCAAATCCAGTTATGTCACCCCAAGGCTCTTTAAGACCACAGCATTTAAAGATAGTAGTTTTCAATTGAATTATTGTTTTCTGGTTTTGATTATTTAAGCCTTAGAATAAATTAGATTTCTGGGATTACAACTGCTTTGTATATTTTTCATTCCCTCCACCCACCACACAAGAGGAAAAAAGCTAAAATGTCTGTTCCTGTTTACTTAGTGATGTAACTCTCATGGCCCTAGCATTCCCTAGCGACACAAGAAGTAATAGTTTGGGGTTTTATTTTTTGTTTTTAATGTAGCTCTGGACAAAAACTGCTCCCTGTACTATAGCAAGGCATGGAACTAATTCCCAAATAAACATTCAGAGGCTCTTTCTTTAAAGGCTACAGTTTTGCGTTTCCACATAATTCTACTTAAGAGTTCATTATGGAAACCAACATATATATTGGCATTGTTAATAGTTGATAGAAGAGGAGCAAGGAATCTAAGAGCTTTTGGCTAAATCAAGAAATTGGGGAGAGAGGGAAAGAACATCTAAGAAGAAGGCAATGACAAACTACCTCTGTACAGTGGAACCTCGGTACTCAACTGCTTTGAAACTCATTGAATTTGGTATTTAACACATTTTTACGTGAAAATTTTGTTCTGGTACTTATTGTTTATTTGGTACTTAGCACACAAGCTAGAACTTGTCACTGTTGACTGCCTTGTGCCTACATCATTCCTTATGGGAAAAATTGGTTTGGTACTCATCATTTTTGGTACTCATTGTGTCTTCTGGAACCAATTAACGATGAGTACTGAGGTACCATTCTATTGTTAACAAGAAGATGATAAATGTGTCTATTAGGTCAGAGTCTTGAGTTTGATTCAAAAAGACTTTATTTAAAAATATGTAATGTGGATGTTCTTTTACTATAGGTTTCAAAATGGTTTTATTTATTTTATTTAGCTTTCTATACAATCAAGTACTAGAGTTTCTTAGCCGTTTACCAGATTTGGACACTCCAATGTTTATCACATGATTCATCTGTGATCATGGATGTGAATTTTAAAAGGCACCCCCCCACCTTTGTTTTTATTTCTTACACAGGAAATAAAAAAAGAAGTGAAGAAAGAAAGTTCTGCCAGCAAAGCACCAGAGCTCTCTATGCATGAAGTTCCTAATGGAAGTTCTTTACTATTGTCTGAGACAATTATTAGAACCTCCAAAAAAGGTAATACATTTTTAATTGTAGAACTTTAATAAAGACAAATTATACCTGATATTCTAAGTGTCTCCTAGGCATCTCAGTACATTTCCTGTGCCTCGTTGTTGTTATGACAGAGACAACAATATGTTCTTACATTAGAAATCCTATCATATATTGAATAGGATGAGAATGCTTGGAATAAAACAATACTAATGACCAAAATACTAATCTAAATGTACGCAAACTGATTGCTAATTGCTGTTGTTTGTTAACAGAGAATGCCAAAGACAGTTGCAATTCTTTTTCCTAAAGAATTCCAATTTATCATGAAATAAGGCTGAAACAGATACAAATAAATGGCATCCACCATTGATTATTCCACAGTTCATAGATCAAACACTTTGCTTTTAATGTATCTTAGCATACATTTTATGAAGATCATAGATTATTATTTCCACTCTTTGCTACCTTTTCTATAATACTGTATTAAAGCTAAAGCTTTTAAACTGCTTCAATTGTCAAATGGTGCACAACTTTCTACCTATTTCCTGTGTTACGGGTTTTTTTTAGTGCTTACTCTGCATAGTTGTGGGATCTGATTGTTTTTGCAATGCCCTTAGTGTTTACAGTAAAGAATTAATGCAGCAGACAATGGAGGGATTTTTTGTTTTATTAGCACCTTATCACAGAATCTGAAAGGGAGTGCCCCCCCCACATAATTATAAAATGCAAACACACATATAAACACAAAGACCCTTTTTCCCTTTACCCCCCTCCCCAGTCCATGTGTATATATAAAATATTGAGAGGGGGAGGGGAATGGATAAGGACTTATGTATTTAACAAGCAGATCAGAAGTTTTTCAACTTTCCATTAATTTATCTTCACGTATAAATGTGTGTGTTTGTATATGTATACATACATAGTCAGTGGTGAGATTCAAATATGAGAACAACCGGTTTTCTGTGTGGATGCTGCTTCCGGAAGTCCATTCTTGGCCTGGGCAACAAAAAATTAGCTATTAGTTCTGCCGAAGTGGTGCAAACTGGCTGAATCCCACCACTGTACGTAGTGAAAATAAAAATGTATAGTGTTTTATGCACATGTGGAGAATGGATTTCTTCTTGAGAAGTTAACAGTAACAGTCTGGAAGGGAAAGTGATAATGAAGTTGCTTCAGTTTCATATGGTAGAACATAACCACAAACTATACAGGGCATGGAAAATAGGAGTTCAAAAGCTGTCCAGACAAGTTGTATTTTGAAGAGAGCTTTAATGAAGTGAAATAAGTATATTCAGTAAATTTCTGATGTAACTGTTTTCTGTAATGCTAGAATTGCTCTACATGAAATTTTGTAAATCCCCCTTTTACTACATTTATGATGCAGTTAATTTCTTGTTTCAGTGTTGTTTGTGACAAACAGTAATGTTTTTATAAGAATCCAGCAATTGTTTTTATAAGTAATATACTGGCTCTAGCAGGGTTAAAAAAAAGGAAGAAAGAAATAGGAACCATCTGAAGAATGCTGACATTAAAGAATGTGATAGAAGATGAGCTAGTGGTTTGAATTTCACAATATCCTTGATATTGAGATGTCCAACTTCCTTCAAGTTGAGGGCCACATTTTGTCTGTAAGTGTCTTATAGTTACATTCAAAGCTGTGTTGAAAGAAAAAAATTTATCAGGGTCCAGTCCAGGCTGGGAATAAACAAAATGGAGACTGCTTTAGTAAAGAAAGTTCTTGTTTATTGAGTTGCCAGAAACGTCAGTGATAGCAGCATTGTTTCTGGGATAGCTGACTACATGGAGCTGGAGTGGTGGGTTTTTATACCTTCTTGGGCTTTTGTGTTTTTAGTTGTTCCTGTGGCATGAACTTTGACCTGAGGTTCAATGTGCTCTTTTAGTATTCTGATGGTGGTGAGTTAATCCTTTTATGTCCTAAAGGTCATGTCCTGCTTTCCTGTGGCTGTGGCTGATGGCTATGTCCTGTGTTGGATGGGTGAAGGGTTGCTGGTTCTAATCCTATCACTCTGCTATTGTTAGCTATCAGTTTTGCTCCAAGGGATTTTGAAAGATCTGTCTTGAATGGGTTTCTGCAGGCAGTATTTGCTCATGAATGGGGCCTTGGACTTTCTGAATGGGATTATCAAATCTGCATTTCTACAGACCTGGCCTCTGCCTAGTTTCTGCTTGGGGCTATTAAGAAAAACTGGGCCTGTTTTTCGGCCTTTAAGATCCTTTGGCGAAATATAATATTCTGCTTTTTTAATATTCCCCAAAATATTTCTTTCTCTTGGGTGGGGGCTGACTTCCCACAGCTGTATATGAGGTCAGATAAAAAAAATATATATTCCATTTTTTTACATTTAATCATTTTACCCACATCAATATTTCTGTTTAAATGTTTAAACACAGTAGATGCAATTAATCACCAGTCATGAAAGTTTTCCTTTCTGGCACATTAAAAATTATAATTTGCAAATTATTATAGGCCACACACAAAGCTTCTCTAGGGATTATGTGGAACTGAAGCCTTAGATTAAGTTTTCTTTGTGTGAGTTTTGTTTTCAAAAATTGGAAACCATGTTGCTGCAAAAGGCCAGTTGCATTTACAATACCTGTACCTGGGTTGCATTGCAGCAGTTTAATATGGAATTATCCTTTGTACCTGTTAATTCTAAAAACAGAACTAATTGATGTTCAATGATTGGTATTTCTCCCATAAGAATTTTTTAAAAATTATTATTGGTTTAAACTTAGAGTTGTTTTCTGAGGTCCACGCACTGTCTTCTGCAGGCCCAAGAACTAGAATACCAGTTTGGTCCATCTTTTACTAGCTTATGCTGTATTTGATACACACATTGTTTTGCTAGAACTAGTTGTAATAAATTCAGCATTAGCAGGTGTTGATTTTAGACAATTTGTTTTTTGGTTTTTTTTGAGTGCATTCTTTCCAAATCATAGAATTCTGACTCTTTTTAATATTAATTATACAAAGCCTGCACATGTAATCCAACATTAAGACCATAAAGAAGTAGATATTAAAAGAAACAAACATGTAGACATTATATTAAACCTACTAAATAATTTATATAGTGTTACATTAAACACCTTCACCTAAAAATTGTAGAAGAATGAGAAATATGTTTTAAAAATCTTAGTGGCATTCAGTTTTTAAAAAGCCTATAATGTGCCTCTGTAATCGCTTTGGTTTTAAACTACAGCTGTGTTCTTTCCCATGCACTTATCCTATATATTTTTTAAAAAATATACTTCCGGCTATTGTGGTTTGAACAGCTGTCAGCTTTCTTATTTTGTTCTGAAAATTCTGTATTTAGTGAAATGAAAAAATTCACGTAAGACTAACAAGCAAATTGGGAATCTTTGAATAAAGTCATCCTTGGATGGGATCCTCTTAAGGGATTATATATGTTTGGCACAAGAAAGATAGAGATAGAGGAATATTAAGGCACTAGAGTCCCTAATTAAAGAAAAAGTTAGAAATATTAGGGCATTAGGGTCCAAATAAAATATAATAATTGATGTGCAAGTTCAAGAATATAAACCCTGAGCACCAAAACTACTGGTGCAGTTTTGCAGTAGTAGTTTTACAAGATTCTTTTAGTGTTCTAAAAGAATTGGCTCTTCTTTTTGAATTGGATTTGTGGAAGTAAATGGAAGGCCACATATGAAATTTGGGGGTTGGGCCTCTGGTTTCTTACGGCCCTGTTACAACAGCAGCAACTTTAAGTCCTATATATTCTTGATACTGTTTTTATATCCATGAACTTTTACTAGGCATTTAATTTTATGTAAGATGTTTTTAAATGTTGCAGTGTTCCAAATCAAATGAAAAAAGGAAGCTAATAAAAAAGAAAATCATATTTATTTGCTTTGCTAAAACATGTAGTATTTATAGTGACTGCAAAGTATTTTTTTCCTTCTGCTGTCTTTATTTAATGGGTTAGGCAGATTATTTCCTTGAGTCTGATAATACAGCTTTATTTACACTGTAACTTTTTTTAGTCTTGTGACCTATTTCCATCACTATGGTGTATGCTAACCCCTACAGAGAATTGTCTTAAGAAGGTTCACAAAACGAAAAGAAAGCAGTGTGGAATTAAGTTCATGAAGGAAAAAAATAATTGTTTTGTGTGATAGAGGCATATTTAACGCAACCCATAGTCATTTTAAATTAGCACTTTAGCTGAATGAATGTATTTTAGATTTTAAAGAAAGCTATCAGAATGGTATAAACCTTCTTTTAAGCTCTTAGAAAAGATACATTACATTATAACCTATCTACATTTATAAGTTTTGCATGACTTACACACATCCCTCCTGGAGTGTGTGGATGAGTGAGGAGAGAAAATGTGTTTATACAATAAATAAATAAAATTATGTATATTATTTTCAGTTGTATTATGACTTGTTTCATTTTTATTGGGATTCCTCTGACACAAGTAGCCAAATATTAGTCTGTGGGGTTCAGACCCTCTAGTGCAGGGGTGACAAACTGCCGGCCCATGGCCAGATGTATCATAGCGAAACCACGCCAACCCCATTGCTGGCAATGGCAAAAAAAGTCACAATACGTCACAACATGTCACGTGACGTTGTGAGTTTGACACCCCTGCTCTAGTGGGAATTGAACTCCCAAACCATCACATTTTAAATTACTATAAGTGCATTAACTTTAGGAGCTATGTACGACCTAACACTCAGCGGCTGCAGGAAGCCATGTTTAGAAATGCTATAAATGGATTGGCTAATATTCTTAGTATAGTTAAAATAAGCAATACTTCTTCAAACTATAACAAAATATGTAACAATAATAATGATGATTGAAAACAGACAACATATTATTACATATTACTCAGTTCTGGACATTATTCATAAAATAGCGTTAGTTAACCACTGGTAGTTTAAAAACAGTTTTGAAGCTCATTTTTTTCTGGTTCAATGTTTCCTAAATGTGGAATGCTAGCACAAGGCATTCCCAACAAGCACTCCCAAAACAAGAAAGGGACACCAGGTTGGAAAATTGAGTAATTCCGTCAATTAGTTAAGTTGTGGGGGGATTTCTATGTGTTTTGATGACACCCATTATTTTCTTCAATAATAATAATAATAATAATAATAATAATAATAATAATAATAATAATAATAATGTTGGAAGGGACCTTAGAGGTCATCTAGCCCAACCCTCTGCTGAGGCTAGAAACCCTATACTATTTCAAACAAATGGCTGTCCAGTCTCTTCTTAAAAACCTCCAGTGTTGGAGCATTCACCGCTTCTGGAGGCAGGTTGTTCCACTGGTTAATTGTTCTAACTGTCAGGAAGTTTCTCCCTAGTTCTAGGTTGTTTCTCTTCTTGATTAGTTTCCACCCCTTGCTTCTTGTCCTGCCTTCAGGCACCTTGGAGAATAGCTTGACCCCCTCTTCTTTATGGCAGCCCCTGAGGTATTGGAACACTGCTATCATGTCCCCCCTCGTCCTTCTCTTCGTTAAACTAGACATACCCAATTCCAGCAACCGTTCCTTATATGTTTTAGCCTCCAGTCCCCTAATCATATTTGTTGCTCTTCTCTGTACTCTTTCTAGAGTCTCAACATCTTTTTTACATCGTGGTGACCAAAACTGGATGCAGTATTCCAAGTGTGGCCTTACCAAGGCATTGTAAAGTGGTATTAATACTGTTTTTCTTTTACCTCTCCATTGAACTTTAATCTATTTTACCCTACACAGCTGTTCCTCACAGACACCTACCCCTGGATACTGTGCTTCTATGATAGTATTTTGCCTGAAACATTTTATCCCGTTTTCCAGGAAAAGGCTAGTTGGCTCATGTAAGGTAGAAGAAGAAGAATAGTTCCTGATAGAAAAGGCAGACCACCAGATGTTCAATACATCTGAAAGGCACCAATTTAAGAAAATGGTGGTGATTCTTATAAAACTAGAAGTAATGAAAATAATTCAGGGAGAGAAAAAATCCTCCAACAAAACCAGTGGGAGAAATCAAATGTCCTACTGTAGTTCTCATTCTTTGGTAAATGTTTAAAATCTGTTTGGGGCAGAATTCTTTGCTGTAATCTTGCCAACTGCTAGTGTAAATATAGCACTTATTTTGCTGATCATAGTTTTCCTGAAATTGCTATAAAATTGGTAGCTATATAACCCATTGTGTCACTGAGGCCAAAGCTGTATATGAGTGATTTAGTACCCATCCCATCCTTATAAATTTTTTCAGCTGATACCAGCCAAGCCCCATCATAGCAGGTAGTTTCTTACCTTAGTTACTGGTAGTCAAGCCTGGTCTTGCTGAATGTCCATGTGTTCATACCATGACATTGCTACCTTAACACAGACATGTAGCCTAAGACCACACAGCTACCAGTAATATACATTTGGGCTAACCTTGTCCGGGCTTAGAGGTTCAGCAAGACTAGGTTGGGACTTGGGTGGAAATTTCAATATAATTGCAGGGTTATAGGCTAGACTGGAAGGCATCTGAAAAGAAAGCTGTACAAGACACTATAAAAAACTACATACTTTTGAGTACAGATTGATTTCTAGGAAATTATATATCAGAAAGTTTTACACTAGGGACCAATTCCATCTATCAGCTTGACGTAATCATTGAAAGTTACCTGATTGTTATTATGACATTGAGAAATAGCATGCTAAGTTGAACTTAAATGTGTGCTCAAACGGGTAAGAAAGATCCACTCTTCCTGTCACCTATATCTGTTTAAATATTCACTTTAAAATTAATAACAAAAATATTGGGATCTTATTCATTTGTAGGTGAACGAAATAGAAGGCGACGATGTCAGGTGGCTTTCAGTTATATGCCTCAAAATGAAGATGAACTGGAGTTGAAAGTTGGAGACATCATTGAGGTAGTGGGAGAAGTAAGTAGTGCTTTTAAGCTTTACAGTGTCCAGGTTTCTCTTACATTTTGAATGCAGTTCCTGATATAATTCTGCTTGAATGACAATTTTACCTGGGTAGGATGTTAGTTATATAGCCAGTAGGGGAATGATGTAAGGAATTAAAAAGGCTGGCTGTGTTAAAGATAAATGAGAAAAGCTTGAGCTATTATGGAGATAATGTGGTCAAGATTAAGAGATGTTTTACAGAGAAAAACAAAGTGTTTGTAGTGTACAGTTGAGTGGATGGAATACTAGAGCAGGAGATTTAAAAGCAATAGTATGGTCTGTAAAGTTAAAACATGAGTAAAAAAGAGGAATGAGTTCAGACAGAAATAAGAGTCTTGAGAGTGTTATTTTTGCTATTATATATAGGCAGAACCAGTATGATGAATTGCTACAGAAAACATAGGAAATAAACCCAAGTCTTGTGTAAGATCTACAGGGTGAATAGTTATATTGGCCATGTTGACATGTTGGTACAGTCGTTCATATATCATGGTTTATGAAGTTGTAGATGAATGTCATTTCCATTTATCCAATCTATTGCATGCTAACTTTGGCATTGGTATTCTGCAACCCATTCAAGCAGAATTATCTGTTACTCAGATATGTTAATTAACAAGCTAGTAAAATAAACTGCTTTATAATCCTTGGATGACTATCTGAATCAATTGTTGTTGATGGATTAATTATTCTTTAACTAATCTGAATTATAACTTAGTTAGGTCTTGCTGCTAAATATAATTATATTGTTCTGTATTATTCAGTCTACATGTTCAGAGAGAGGGAGGGGAAGAGTACATAAATTTCAGCCTCTCTCTTATTAAACATTTAAGTTGTAATGTATATTTTATTATGATATTTGCCATAATTGTAGGCTAATTTGTTTAGAATATAATTATATCAAAATTTTGTTATATTGTATTTGTAAAGAAAATGTTAAACCTATTCTAATATTCACCACAACAATACATCTCTTCTGCTTAAAAGTTTCTCCTCCTTAGTATGAAGAGTAGAAAGGATTTTTATATATATAGAGAGAGAGAGACTGTGATATTCTCAGTTTGTTTCTGTTTTGTTTTTGCTTGGTAGACCTACATTATACAGCATTTTTTCACCTATTGAAACTATCGTCTCTATTAGTTTTTTTGTAGAGGGACAGTACCTGGTTGATAGAATTTACTTAATGTCAAAGGTACCTTTAGGTGACTGAAAGAATAAGCCATTCCTTGCTGCCACAATATAACCCAAAGGCATTTATTTGGTCTTCAGGCACTACAATCTCCTAGCACAGCGGTTCTCAACCTGTGGGTCGGGACCCCATATGGGGTCGAACGACCATTTCACGGGGGTCACCAAACAATGCAGTCTGCCATTTTTTCCCCCTTTTCCTTAGCTGTGCTACTCCCTTTTATTCTATTGGCTTTTGAAAGCCAATAGAATAGACTCTCTTGAATAGAGTCTAATTCTATTGGCTTTCAAAAGCCAATAGGAATTGTTCAGGCTCTCTCTGCCCTGCTGAGCCTGCCAAAAGTCCCATTCTGGAAACGGTGCTGCACCAGTTGAGTAGTCCTCGACTTATGACCGGTTGGGGTCGCGGCATTTAAAAGGTTGAGAACTACTATCTTAGCAGGATTCTGCCATTCCATAAATGGGCAGAAGAACATCATTGTCTGTGACACATTTGCTTAAGTGTTACACTAAAAATGAATCACCGTGAATCACCGTGTCTTTCAGTAGAAATAGATCTTGCATCCTATTGCTTTCGATGAGTCTAGTTTAGCTTATTGATGCATATCAAAAGCGTGTAAATTTATTGATGTTATTGTAAGCAATAATATAATAGTACAGTACTCAGTTTTATTTTTCCTGTTGAAGCACTGATTAAAATTAGAAGCAATTTAGTTTAATTGGAGATCATAACTAGAATAAGTAAAAATATTTATGATAAAGTTGTTATCCTTTTAAATAATACTTCACATCTGTAATTGCTTTATAATGTAAATTGTTAAATCTATCTTATGAGGTAAGTAATTACTCCCATCAATTTAAATCTGGATAATATAATTATACTTTTTCAATATAGCTAAGGACTTTAATTCTTAACTAAGCCCAGTATTCTCTCCACTGGAAACTATCTACTTTTAGTTATTCTAATACAATTATTCAGGGGAAAAATTATTATTAGTATTTTAGTAATAACGAGTCAGTAAAATAAGAAACTAACAATACATCTCACATAATTAAATTACCAGAAAAACAATATTTATCATTTTCTTAAGTGAACTCTTTTACTTACCGCTCACTGCTTTAAAAATAAAGCTTACTGCTTTAAAAATAATTATTACCACTTGGAATTCAGCCTGGAAAATCTATATTCCAGAACATTAAGAACAATAACTTCCCTAGGTCAAATGTTAGTTAAAATACAAGTGGTCCTCGACTTATGACCACAATTGAGCCAAACATTTCTGTTGCTAAGATAGCTTCTGGTTTTGCATGGTAGCCACTGGTCGTGGGCTTGCGGATTCTACACACCCCCACAGCTAATTTCACCCTGCCAAGGGACCCTAAATGGATCTAAGTCGTCCCGGAGAGCTAGTGAAGAAAGAAGGATGCTCCAGCGATTCTGGAACGACGGCGGCCGTTCTGTTCGATTTGGGGAAAGCCTTCTAACCCGACAGGAGAAAGGCTGGCCATATTGCATCAACCAGCCCAAGCTACTAGCAACCGAAGTCCAAAAGTACTAGCTAGCACAACTGTGAACAGTGTGCTTGAAACTGGGTGAGGAATTCGATTTTCTCTTTTCTATTCTATATTTAATTTCCTGGAAAAGATCCCCAAGGAGCAAAATACCTCTGAAAGGGGAGGAGGGGGATTTCCACCTCACCCTTATACTAACAGAAGTGGCGAATTAATCTTTTTGTGGAGGATCAAAATGTCTGGAAGTAAAATAAATATAAAACCTGAAATTTAAAAATTAAATCTGGATAAATATAAAATTGTTTGAATGATTAAGACTTTCATTCTAAAGATAATTGTTTATTTTGGAAATTGAAAAACAAATAGTTGCTGACACCTAGTGGTGGATGAAGACTATGACTGCTATGGCAAAACCTGGGAAAAGCTAATCTGTGTTTGTGACCTTCAAAGCTTTAACAACAAAGAACAGCTGTGACAAAAAAAGACAATAATCTGGGCTTTAGACAGAGAATTATAAATTTCAGGAAAATAATTTTTTGAACTATTTGGATTACAAAAATCTATTTAATTGGGACTCTAGAGCTATTTGCAGAGAAAAGAAAGGAAGAGAAAAACTCAAATTCTTGGCCATCATGGATCAGAGACATGTAGAAAGAACATATCAAGAAAACATAAAGTCTTCACAGGAGGAGATATATAGTATACTGCAACTAATTCAAACAACAATAACTTTAAACCACAAAGAAATCAAAATAACTTTGAAAATATAAATCAATCTATTTCCAAGTTAACTCTACAACAAAAAGATTCCTAGAAAACAACAATAGAGAAGGAGCAGATAAAACAGATAAATGGATATAGAAGTGAGAATAGAGATTTAAAGATGGAACTTAATAAAACAAGGAAACATGATTTAATCCTAGTGGGAAAAAATTCACAAGAATTGGAAAAAACAACTTATCCCTTAAGACTATAAAATAAAGCCGAGGACAAGAAAACAGATTGGATAAAATGGACTGTAGAGATGTCAGGAACATCAGAGAGAAAGGAAATGATAAGAGAAGTGGAAAGAAAGAAAAAGAAAAAGATTTTCAACAAACATGAAAAGGTAGAAGCCCCGTACAAAAACACTTCACCTGATTTACTTTTTATATCTACAGTAACATTTACGAACATACGGAAAAACCTTTTGATTCAGCAAAATACATTGATTAAGAAAGATACTGGGCAAAGGAAAAAGACTAAAGTGGAAACCAAGAAAATAGATAATGGGATTTACCAGAGAGAATACTTAAAAAAGAAACATTTATTTGAATAAATTAAAGAAATAGAAAAGATTTGGAATACATATGTCATTATAAAAGGGATAAATTCTCTAAATAATATAGTTTGCTTTTTTCCCTTTTTTATTTTCTTTCTTGATATGAGTAATTAAAAAAAAGTTGAAGTGACTAGATAAAGGAAATGTTTTAGATATTTAAATGTGATTGAATTTAAGAAAATTATAATGGATAAAAAATGTTTTGAATATGAGTTAAAGGACTAGATGACTGGATGTATTAAATGAAATGTTTAAAGATTAAACATATTTTATTTATGGTTAAAAAGAATAAGAAATTTTGGAAACAAATATATATTAGCTTAGGAGAGATATATATTTTAAGTAGTATGTTATTTTTTATGTTTCTTTACTCTTGCTCTCCTTTCTTTTTTTTCACTGTTTTATCTATTTCTTAAGAAATGTAAAAGTGTGAGATGGTTCATATGGAAAAAATAGAGTTAAATTTTTAAATGTAATTAATTTTTGAGAAAATCTTAACCAGTAAGAATACCTAGAATTTGGTGGGACAAACAAATTAAAATAAGGGGTGCAACAGGATTTATGATAAAGCAACCAGAATGATTGGATAGAAAAGAAATATTATATTGATGTGATTATTATCTTTAGGAAGATTGGGAAAATTATATATTTAATTGTTATCTACCAAAACAATAAAAATTGTATTAACTCAATGTTTGCAAAAGCGGATATTTTGGGAAAAGAGGACATCAACTAAAACCATTATGTGGATTATGGATTACAGAAAATAGTTGTTAGTGATTGTTTTACAAATGTAAACCCAGACAACACACTGTTCGCCAATTATTAAGTGATTTATGTTTTAAAAAAATCAATAAGATATATTACAAAAAAAGAATAGTTGTTAAGTAAGTTTTGCCCCATTTTAAAACCGTTATTTGCCCCAGTTGTTAAGTGAATCATTGCAGTTGTTAAGTTAGTAAGATGTTTATTAAGTGAATCTGGCTTCCCCATTGACTTTGCTTGTCAGAAGATTGCCGAAGTGATCACATGACCTTGGGACACGGCAACCGTCAGTTGCCAAGTGTCTGAATTTTGATCACATGACCATGGAGATGCTGTAACAGTCATAAGTATGAAAAATGGTCATAAGTCACTTTATTTTGTGCCATTGTAACTTCAAACGGTCACTAAACGAACTGTTGTAAGTCGAGGACTACCTGTACGTAATGTTAAAGTCTGCAGTGCTTCAGGGTTTTCACTCTTCTTTGGCAATTGAGCTATCTTGAATGCATCACTATAGTCAAAATGAAAGCTATCAATATATGGATAACAGATTTGGAAAGAAAGGAAGGCACATAGCTAAGCTAACTAGCAATTATTCTAGAAACAGAGGCAGCTTGAAATCTTGAACTGGTGTAAAGTTGGTTATTGTTTTTAAGGGAGTATGATACCATATATGGCCCATAACTATGGCATTCCAGGATCCAAAGCCAATACATCTTACCTTGTGTAGTTGAAATTTCAGTGTCTTACTCTTCTCACGTACCAAAATAGCATCCAGAAACGGTTGCTTATAGACTTGATGAGTACAGAGATATATTTCTATTCAGTAATGTCAGTGTTTTCAAATGAATGGCACCACTTACCATAAAATCTTGCAAGATATTGAAAAGGACATGATTGTCCATGGATATTTATGGATGGCCAGAGGTTTGTATGGAACAATACTAAAATTGTTGTCGTTGCTGAAGGTCTAAATGTAGGAACTCATTATGTTTGTTTTCTGCTGTGGCACAGGTAGAAGAAGGTTGGTGGGAAGGAGTGCTAAAGGGGAAAACTGGCATGTTCCCCTCTAATTTCATAAAGGAGCTGTCCAATTCTGAGGATGCTAGAATTGTCCATGAAGAGCACCTGATAAAACCAAGTAAGCGTATAAGCATTCATTCTATTTTAGCTTTGGTTGGATTCTTTCATTATACCATGGCTTTTCTTTTTCTCCTTTCTAATGAACAAAATCCAACAAATTTTTAGAATTGGTGCAGTGAACTGTACCAGGTGGAACAGAATTAATGCTAAATTGCTTTTAGCTGCAAAGATTTAAGCTCCCGAGTTGTTCTTTTTCTGATTGAATGACCTTTTTGTTCATTTTCCTTAACCATAATTTGCCATTATATTTTATCACTAGAAGTTCTGAAATGCTAATTCAGAAAGTCAGTTGAACTATGCTTGGTAATGTGATGTTCCTATCATTTAATGTTGATCAATGGATTATAGTTAAAAGAATGATAATACATTTGCAACAGCTTTATTTTTTTTCCTTTGCCTGACACTTAGCATTTTTGTTTTTTCTATCAATAGTGCTGCTGTACCTAGAGCTCAAGTTTAGGTCAGTAAACCCACGGAATGGTCTTCAGAATTATCCAGAAGGTGGTCACTAGCAAGGCTGTGGCAAACAAGCTAAGCCAGGAGACGATTGATTATTTAGAGTGGCAGATCTCTTGAACCCTTGTTTTTTTTTAAAAAAAAAAAATAGTATATACCATTGGATACAGCTAGAAATGTTATTTTTATTATTTTGCTTTGCAAATATCCTGTGTTTTTAAGTCACAAAAGTATGCTACCTACTGCACCATTGCTTAGTATACTTTTTATTAAAAACTCCCATAAATTTAATACATGGGGTTCATTTGTAGTATGAAGCAGAAGTGAAGGATTTGTGGTCCTCCAGATGTTATGAATTCCATGTACCCTTAGACATGTTGTATGGAACTACTGTGAGGGCCAAATGTTTTCCTTTGCTGTAAAGATTTATGTCTCTGGACAATGATAAATTTGCTTTGTCAACTGTGACATTCACACATCTTCCATGATACAACCCACCTTCTACCTCTATTTCAGGCATGTCAAGCTGCCGGCCCATGGGCCGGATGCATCATACTGAATCTGCACCCACCCCAGTGCCGGCAATGGGGAAAAAGTCACGATATGTTGTGCGATGTCACATGACATCGTGAGTTTGACATGCCTGCTCTATTTGATGAAAAAGAATAAAATAATTGCTATTTCCCCCAGTATGTTTAGACCAATATTGAATTAAACTTGTTTTTACGGAGAATTATATTGTTACTGCTATTCAAATTGCACCATTGGATTTTTTAATTTAGTTTGTCCAGAATTTTTTAAACTATTTGTGTACAAACTACTTTTGAAGTATATTTTACTTTTGAAATATTGTATGCACTGCAGTGCTTCTATAATGATTTATTAATTAATGTTTGCCAAGAATATTGTACCAGTCATAATTACTGCATTGTTTTTAATTTCTATAGTAGTTTTCAATTTATAACTTAGATAGAAATATATTTATGAGCTTTCTTTTGCTTACATCATTCTTTCTGTCTCCCCATCATAATAACTAAAATGTTTCACATCATTAACTGGATATACTCCTTGTAAATTTATGGCATCAGGTGAAGGTGGATTTGTCAGTAGTTACCAAAGACATTTATGGCAAAGGGCAGAATTGAAATATAGCTCTTCCTAATTTATAATAGACCCCATGGTATTATTCACTATAGTCCAGTAATTCTTGACTTTGTCAGAAGAGACATGCCTAAGTAAAATTCAGATAAACAACTGGCATGCATGTATGACAGATCAAGATAGTTATCCTTTGTATAGCTTAAGAGACTTGACTTAAAATATTTTTATCATTTTTACTATACTATGGTATTTGAAAAGATGGCATTCTGAGTAGTTTTAGGATTTTAGATTAAAACAGTTTTTGCAATCATTGCAAGCCTTTCATGCAGAATCTCACAAAATCTGAATTTAAACTTTTCAGTAATTTTTATATCTGTTTAAAACATTTTTGATATAAGGAAGATTTCAAAAGCAGTAATTATATTTTTACATTGCTTTTTGAATAGAGAATTTTGCTAAGCAATACATATTGATGAATTCATAAGCATATGATGTTACTGAACTTAACTTGGATTAAATGTATTCTGCTGTGCTTATAGAGTTAAAGACTAATGGCAAATGTATTCGGGTAAAATACTTTTTATTCTAATACATTAAATCTTTTATAAAAAGAGGAGTGGGGGTAAAGTTAAGCATCATAAAACCTTTCTTACATACAATGTAACTTTTTTCTTTATTTTTTTGTAGCAATAACATCTCTCTGGAGAATTCCAAATCCTCTGAAAACAGATTTGGGAGTAGGGGAAAAGTTGGTTCTGCTTAATTTGTTGATAGACACTCAGAGTTGTTGTGTGTTCTGAGCAAAAAGGAAACAAGTGTATCCCAACGCTTTGCTAATTTGCACAGAAATTATACTTCATCTGTTAAAAATTAAACCATTAAAAATATTCAGGAAGAATACACGGTTTACTTTGCTGAATGGCATAATCTGAACAAAGTTTTGACTTTTTTTTCCTCAGAAATGCAAACAGTGAAATTATAATTACTTATAAGCTTGTTCTTTTACTAATGAAACTTTAATGCAGCAAGATTAAAAATTATTCCTCTCTTTACTTCTGCTATTACTTCAATTTTCCTATCCTTTCTTTTTGTTCTGCTCTCCTTTTCTTTCATTCTGCTGTCAGGAAAGTCTGCCTTTGAAGGGTCAATTCTGTATAAAGTGGGACCGACAAAGATTGAGAGCTGCAGACGCTATAACAGTGAGTTAATTAACAGAAAAAAGAGAGAATGCTAAGCTAAGGCTGCTCTTTGAATGTGTCTGTTTTCATCTGCCAATGAAAGAATGTCCATCCATTGTGCACTGGAGTCTTGGCTACTTGCATAGTTGTCTGTGAGATGCAGTCATTTCGTTTGCAGTCCACAGCGCATGTCTTTTGAAAATGAATGTAATCTACATACACGGGCAAAACAATCTGCAATATTGGGAATCACCCCCCAAATATAGTGCTCAGCTAGATATTTTGATTTCAATCAATCAATCAGTTTATTTTTACAGCCATAGACCAACACATAAAATTAAACATTCAAATAAAACAGAACTAAACAGAACCGAACACAAGAAGGCATAGCAATATATTACAATTAATGATGTAATCAATGAGTGTCCAAAGTCTGCCTAGTTTTACAGACAGTATAACAAAACCTATCTACCTTCAGAGAGACTGAGTCATACCGACCTGACAATAAAAATACGTTGAGTATGGTCTAATACTGAATAAAAACACGTAATACAATTAATTATAAAAGATTATTAAAAAGATCTAAAATATTTATTTATGTTTCTGGTGAATCCCCAGTGCTGCTGTGCAGAATCTGCCATGATCACTGCCTGCTCGTCCTTAAGCAGCCACTGTGGATAAATACTTTCTGAACAACCAGGATACCTATCACTTATGGGAAGGATATGGTTTTTCTGAATAGCTCTATAGAAGGAACATCGAAAGAGTATGTGTCCAATGGTCTCCACCTCTCCTGAGCCACAGGAACAGAGTCTTTCAGACAATGGTGTCTTTTTATACTTGCCATACAGGACAGCCGATGGAAACGCATGGCACCTTGCGAGTGAAAATGCTTTCCGGTGGTTTACTGACTCCAACTGACTAAGATAACAGGCAGGTGTAACAACATATTGGTCAGAGTCCAATTTGAGTATTGAGGCTGAAGAGAAGCCTAGTTTGGCAAGGTTGGACTTGACTGTCTTGATCCATGAAGAGGAGAATTTGTCTTGAAGGATTAATGGAGCAAGGCCTTGCGGAAAGCAATTAAGCCTTAGCCAAATATTCAAGGAAGCTATACAGATTCTTGCTTCGACTTTTATCAATCCTGTCTCCAGGCGCAGAAGTGTCTCAAACGTGGCATCTGGAGAATTGTTCTAATAAATTTGGATTGAACTCTTTCTAATGGTGTGAAACACAAAGCTGCGGCTGCCTCTGGCCAACTGATTAGCGAACACCATCCTTAAATTTTTCTGCACAAAGGGAGGATACTATGTTCCAGCCTCAATTAAGCTCTTTCTGGCCAAGTCGCTAGCACAGCTTCTCTACGGGACCCTGCTTGGTGTTCGCTAATCGTTGGCCAGAGACAGCCGCATATTCTCCATGTGCTTTTCATGAGCCAGTGGCGTGGATGACCACTCCTAGGTACTTAAAGGTGGTTACCTGCTCTATTTTATGGCTATTTAAATACCATTACAATTTTGGCCTTTTTGCAGAAGCCATAACCTTTGTTTACTCATAATTTATGTCCAGTTTATTGTAATTGCAATACTGGACGAGGGCTTACAAGGCTCTTTTAAGGCCAACTGGAGTCCTGGAGAGGATCACATCATCGTCTGCATAAAGCAGCAGGGCAATGCTTCAGTCACCTATTTTTGGGGGGTGGTAATTTGATTTATTTAACCATTTTACCATGTCATTTATATAAAAATTGAAAAGCAAGGGGGCCAAAATGCACCCCTGTTTAACCCCCTTTTGAGTTTCAACTGACCTCAAGAGGGACCCTTGTATATTGCACCTTACCTTGAAGGATGTTTTAGTATGTAAGGCATGTAACAGATGGAGAAGACTGTGATCAGTTGAAGCAGCTTCCAGCTTCTCCCATAGCTTAATCCTTGTAACCGTATCAAAAGCTGCCTTGAGATCTATAAAGGCAGCATCTCTTTGATACATATTTTTCAATCAAATGATGAAAAACTAAGCACTGATCTATAGTGCCTCTCCTCTCTCTAAACCCGGCTTGATCTTCAGCAATCAGGTTCTCAAGATCCAGCCACTCCTTTAATTTATCTTGGAGGTGTTTGGCATAGAGTTTGCCGATTATATTTAGCAGGCTTATTGGTCTGTAATTGGCAGGGTCGTCTCTTTCCCTTTTTATAAATTGGGACCACAATTGCCAAGCCCCAATCCTCCGGGACATGGCCGGTGGAATCAATATACTGTAGGTGAATAGCGCTGCCAAGACGGGTGTCCACCATTCCATATTGTTCTTTAGTAATTTAGCCAAAATGAAGTCTGCTTCTGGAGCCTTCTCAATCCTGAGTTGGCCAATGAGGGATTTAATTTCAGACTCCAAAACTGGAGGCCATCAGGTAAATCCTTCATTGTATACCTTGTACTCTCCCTGGAGGGATCTTCATACATTCTCCGAAAGTGAAGTTCCCAAGTTATAGGAGATATATGACAGTCTAATGGGGTATAAATTCTTTCAGAGTGGCAAGCTATTAGACTCCAGAATAAAGAAAAGTTCTTTTGCTTTGCTGCCACAATGATCTGTTCCTTGTGTCTTGTCTCTTCTTGAGTGCAATCAATTGTTTAAATTGTTTTCTGAGTGTGAGTAACTGTTTAAGCATTGCTTTATTGCCATATCCAGTCTCACTTTTATACTCCTTGTATGCCAAGTTAAGAGCTTTCTTGGCTTCTACACAGTCCTTATCAAACCAAGGTTTAGAGGCGATGCAGGGCCTCTTAACTGAGAAATTTCGGTCATGTGTTAGTAGTGGTTGTAGCTCATAAACTAAGCTTTTATATAGTTCTAATAAGCCTTGAGTCGGGTTGGCTGATATAAAAGCTGCACGGATTTTTTGAAAATTACCCTCTGTTAGGGCTCTCCTCACCTTCTGATCAAGTTGTTGTCGTAAATTTGCAAGGTAACCTGGTTCCTGAGTTTATAATGGTCACCTCTTGAACTATCTGATTGAGTGTTGTTTTCTTTGTAGGTATTCTTTCCTCTCACGTTTTTAGAAGAGAGAGAAGGGCCTGTTCTAGTTTCTATCATTAGGTGTCCTCCTGGGTCCTACTGCAATGTTTGGGTGGCTCATAATAAACTTGGCAAAGGACTCTTTCAAGCAGTCAATCTTATTTGTGATAGTTGATAAAAGTTCGTAGATTGAATTTACGGTCTGAGCTGTAAGCAAACATTGTCTGGAAAGGAGAGCTATTTCATTCTTCCTTACTAATTTGTTACTACCCCATCCTGTGCAACAAAAGCGGGTATAAATTTCCAAGGAGGGGAGCTATTTTCTGTGAGAGAAGCAGAAAGTTCTATATGCTGTTTGCTTTCAGGTTCGGTTTGTAAATCCATTCCAATGAGTCACATACAGATGAGTTACTTACTGGAACAAACTGTTTATTTGCAGCAAAATCTTCTATTTTCTGCTGCTTCAGTGGCTTGAAAGAACTCTGTTCTGCCGAGTGAACACACTGTCTTTTTCTCCTTTTCCCCATTTTTCCTTCCGAGATGTGCTTCTAATTTTGGGTCTAAATTCGAATGGCATTCAAGTTTCAAATAATTTCTCAAAAGTCTTTGTCTTTTATAAAAAGTTAAACAAGGGTTAAAACAGGTTTAAAAATAGGTTAAAATGGGTTAAAAGTAGGTTAAAAATGCAAGGTTAAAAAGAGTTAAAAAGTTAAAATAAAAATAGAATAGAATAAAATAAAAACTTTTACTTTTGGAGGAGCTCTTTACAGCCTTTGCTGCCTGTCCACCATCTTGGCTTCTCAATATTTTGATTTGAAAACATGCATATTGGAATTATTGGAGGAATTTAGGTCAACAGTAGAATATGTGGTTGGAGCTCAGAATATATAGGTTCAGTTCCCTAAGGGTTATTCAAAGGTTGTTGGGGAACGTTTTTCATGAAATCTTGGACAAACATTGCTAATTGAGGCATTTACAGTAATAGTATGCATAGTATTTATCTCTATATGTAGCAGCTTTGTGTTGTCCCAGAAAGTTTGAGGCCTTTTACCTGGTGTAAGGGCCCAATCATCACTCCAGATATGTGGAAAGGTCCAAAATGGGCACACACTGTCTTCAAATGAACCACCTTTTATATAATGTTGGATACCGTACATTCATAAAAAACAACATGCATACATTTTCAGTAGTCATAGTAACTTAGTTCAAGCAAAGCTAACAAGATATAATAAAGCCTTTACCTCATCAATACCATTCCTGCATTAAAAGTATTCCTAAGTAAGTTTGTAACTTGGTATCAGGGTCTCGTTATGCTTAAAATCCTACAAGCTAGACTCCAGCAGTATGTGGATCGAGAACTACCAGAAGTACAGGCAGGATTTCGAAGAGGCAGAGGAACTAGAGATCAAATTGCCAACATACGCTGGATCATGGAGAAAGCTAGGGAGTTCCAGAAAAACATCTACTTCTGCTTCATTGACTATGCAAAAGCCTTTGATTGTGTGGATCACAACAAATTGTGGCAAGTTCTTAAAGAGATGGGAGTACCAGACCATCTCATTTGTCTCTTGAGAAACCTATATGCGGGTCAAGAAGCACAGTGAGAACCGAACACGGAACCACTGATTGGTTCAAAATTGGAAAAGGAGTCCGGCAAGGCTGTATACTGTCGCCCTGCCTATTTAACTTATATGCAGAGCACATCATGAGAAAGGCAGGGCTAGATGAATCAAAAGTTGGAATTAAGATTGCCGGGAGAAATATCAACAACCTAAGATATGCAGATGATACCACTCTAATGGCAGAAAGTGAAGAGGAACTAAAGAGCCTCTTGATGCGGGTGAAGAAGGAGAGTGCAAAAGTTGGCTTGAAACTCAACATTAAGAAAACCAAAATCATGGCATCCGGCCCTCTCAATTCCTGGCAAATAGATGGGGAAGAAATGGAGGTAGTGACAGATTTTATTTTTCTGGGCTCCAAGATCACCTCAGAGGGGGACTGCAGC